ATGCAACTATGAAAGGAATTTTTTTAGCACATCCTTCATGTGGACCCTATTAAGATGGTGCTACCGCGTGGACCCTATTAAGATGCTACCTCGTAAGGTTGGCTATGCACAAATTTTTGCCACGCACATCAGCAATTAAGCAGTAGTTGGCTGTAATATTTGACCATTGAATTTGTATATGACTGGCTTTTAGCGCCATTCCGATGGCCTTATCCGATCAATTAGTTTTTGCACATCCTCTTTGCTTCTGTCCAGATTCCCAAAAAAAAAAACAGAAAAAAAATGAAAATACTTGCAACCATTACCACCATCTACCTCTTCTTCCAGTACCATCTTAGATTTATAGTCAGCAGTAACTCTATTTCCCCTTATCGCCCCTTGGATGATTTCGCCCTGAACTGCGGCTCTACTGGCAACTCATTTGCTTTTGATGGCCGGGAATGGATTGGAGATATCACCAATTCTAAATTTACTTCATCACAAGTACTCAAAGGCAAATCAACGAGCTCAAAAACCATCCACCAATCACTTTTCGTTGACCTTGTTCCCTACATGACTGCTAGGATCTCTCGTTCTCAATTCACTTACACATTTCAATTAAGACCGGGTCAGAAATTCATTCGCCTGCACTTTCTTCCAGCTTCATACCATGGCTTCGATAGATCAAAAGCCCTTTTCACTGTTAAAGCTGGTCCTTACACCCTTCTTGACAACTTCAGCGCTTCCCTTGCTGCTGATGCTCTGGGTGTAAAATATTTTGCTAAAGAATTTTGCGTCAACATTGAACAAAATCAAGTTTTTAGCATAACATTCTCTCCGTCTACAAGTAGTGCAACTGATGATGATGTTTATGCTTTTATCAATGGAATTGAGGTCGTCTCCATGCCCACTGGTCTTTATTACTCTCCCGGTGATGATTTGGGTGCTCGTGTCGTTGGCAACAAGTTTCGATACTACATTGATAACAGCACTGCACTAGAGATGGTTTACCGCTTAAATGTTGGAGGGAGATCCACTTTGTCAGTCGAAGAAGATTTGGACATGTACCGTGTGTGGTCCGAGGACAAGAATTACTTGTTACAATCAGGTGTATTATCAGTTACCAGTACCACAAAGGCTGTGATCAAGTATGCTAACATACCCACCTACACTGCACCAATGAAAGTATACAGAACATCTTGGTCAATGGGTCAAAACAAAGTAGCAGATCAGATGCATAATTTAACATGGAAATTACCTGTGGATTTGGGATTCAGGTACCTGGTTAGGCTCCATTTCTGTGAGCTTGAATCCACGACCACTGAGAGCGGCAGCCCAAGGGAGTTTTCTATCTTCATAAACAATCAGATTGCTGAGACTAATGCAGATGTAGTGAAGTGGAGTGGTGGGTACGGGGTTGCACTATACAGGGACTATGTGGTGAAAATAGAAGGAAACAAATTCGAGGGCAAGCATAATCTCATTGTAGCTTTGCAGCCCCAGCATGACTCAGATGCTGATCCAATCCTAAACGGTATAGAAACATTTAAGTTGGCCAACCCGGACAACATTCTTGCCGGTCCCAACCCCGCGCCAACAGCACATTCTTGCCGGTCCCAACCCCTGCATGGAAAATTGGTTTTAGCTTTTGGAAGCCACAATGTAATTACAACAGGTGTGATACTAATACTCACTCTCTTGAATATCATAGTTTACCAGTTAAATACTTGGGGATCAAACTCTGGAGAAAAGAACTTATCATCATCAACACTGTCAAAGGAGGGAGTGTGCAGACGTTTCTCGTTTGCAGAGATCCAGTTAGCGACCAATAACTTTGGTGATGAATTCATCATAGGGAAAGGCGGATTTGGTAATGTGTACAAAGGCCTTATCAATAATGGAACCAAGACTGTTGCCATAAAGCGGTTGAAATCGGAGTCCAAACAAGGGTTTGTTGAGTTCTGGATGGAGATTGAGACCCTTTCGACAATCCGGCACGATCATCTCGTCTCTTTGATAGGCTACTATGAAGACTCCCAGGAGATGCTCCTAGTCTATGAATATATGGACAATGGGAGTCTTGCTGATCATCTCTACCAAGCTAGAAGAAAGGGTGATGTCAATTCTCCTCTCTCTTGGGAACAACGGCTCATCATCTGCATTGGTGCCGCACGTGGATTGGCCTACCTTCATACCAGTAGGGACGCCCATCATGGAGTCATACACCGCGACGTGAAAAGCTCAAACATACTGTTGGATAAAAATTGGGAAGCTAAGATTTCTGACTTTGGGTTGTCTAAAATGGACAATGCAGGCCAGTCACAAACCCACATTAGCACTGCCGTTAAAGGTACATTTGGGTACTTTGATCCAGAGTATTTCTTCACTTGTAGGCTGACAAAGAAATCCGACGTGTACGCCTTTGGTGTGGTATTGTTTGAAGTGCTTTGTGAGAGGCCGGCGGTTGATGTAAGACTTGAAGAGGAGCAACATAGTCTAGCACAATGGGCCAAACATTGCATCAGAGAGGGAACACTTGATCGAATAGTTGATCCCAGCGTGAGGGAGCAAATATCGCCTTCTTGCTTGAAGGTGTTTGCCGAAATTGCCACCAAATGCTTGCACAATAATCCAAATGAACGGCTTACAATGGCTGGAGTGGTGGCTGGCCTGGAGTATTCATTCTCAGTGGCAAGTGGTGGGGATGAGGTATATCCAACTGGGCAGATCTTGCCCACCCACAATTTGAGAATCTTCACATTTGCAGAATTGAAAGCCGCAACTAGAAATTTCGGAGCTGATACAGTGTTGGGAGAAGGATGTTTCGGGAAAGTTTACAAGGGTCGGCTTGATGAGAGGGCGACATCTAAGAACGGAAGTGGAATGGTCATTGCTGTCAAGAAGTTGAGATCTGATAGCATGCAAGGATTTGTAGAGTGGAAGGTAGTTCAACTGTACTCAGTCTGTCATTTTACTTATTTGATCTTGGGTGCTTTTAATTTGCCTTTCATAGCTCAATACGGAATACTTGTCATGTATTCAATCTCAGAATCATAGACTAGAATTTAATTATTTCTTCTTTTCATGTATGCCTAAATTTTTTATATTTGTGCATTTCCATGTAATTGAATAGTTGGTTGATCAAGAAACAGTTTTCTAATGTGAATTGATGGTTCCACAAGCTTTGTTCAATCAACAAACTGCTAATGGTCACCTAAAACAGTATTTAATTAAATACGAAATTTTCCTTGGACTTAACTTTATTGGGTTGGGTTGGGTGGGGTTTGAGGAATTGATATGCCTCTTGTCATGTCTATTTTTGTGAGATAATATTCTTACCTAGTAATTTGTTTCTCTAATTTGGCTCTTCTCTATTGTCCACATTCTTAAAATATTATTGTAGTATGAGAAGTGAAACTATTCCTCATATTTCTAGATTTCCTAAGTGGAATTTATAGAAGTTCTTCTAAATGCTGTCATTTATTTGTTTTTTCGTTTATTTCTGCAGTCTGAAGTGAATTTCCTAGGAAGGCTTTCTCATCCTAACCTTATTAAGTTGCTGGGATACTGTCGGGAGGGTGAAGAGCTGCTCCTTGTCTATGAATTCATGCAAAAGGGTAACTTGGACAACCACCTTTTTAGAAGTAAGTCTGTGTGTGTGTGTGTGTGTGAATTAATGCAAATGTGCTAACATACTAGTCAGTTGAATTCATTTAATTGGTTCACTCTACACCAAATGCTTTGACTAGTGCAGGGGGATCAGATGTTCAGTCACTTCCATGGGGCATACGGCTTAAGATTTTAGTGGGAGCAGCTCGGGGCCTGGAATTCTTACACACGGCAGGAAAACAAGTAATTTATAGGGACTTCAAGACAGCGAATATATTGCTTGATGCGGTAAGTTATGTGCAATCAACAGATTAATATCACGTGATATATAAAGGATTATGAACCCCTAAACTGATTCTAACATATTTTTTTCATTTGTGGTCCTTTTCTGCAGTCCTATAATGCCAAGATATCAGACTTTGGTCTGGCAAAATTAGGCCCCTCTGAGGGTAATTCCCATGTGTCGACACGAGTTATGGGCACAAATGGCTATGCTGATCCTGAGTATATTGCGACAGGTAACCCCCCTGAACCTTTTTGAGCTTCATCTTTTCTAAGGCTAAAGTTGATCAGAATCGAAGTTCTGCCCTTTGCATGATCTAAAGCCACTTGAGCTTGGCCATAACTAAATAAATGGTGTCATATTACTGATATCATGCTTATGTAACAGGACGTCTGTGTGTAAAGAGCGACGTGTATGGTTTTGGCGTTGTATTGGTTGAAATGCTAACAGGCTTGCGGGTAGTTGACCGAAATCGTCCAACTGGGCAACATAATCTGGTTCACTGGATTAAACCACGATTATGTAACAGAAGGAAGTTGAAGGGCATAATGGACTCCCGGTTTGAAGGGAAATATCCTTCCAGAGCTGCTACACAAATGGCTCAACTTGCTCTAAGATGTCTTCATCGTGACCCCAAAGAAAGGCCATCAATGAAAGAAGTTGTGGAGAATCTAGAACTGATTGAAGCAATTAATGAAAAACCAAAGATCTAGCCTAGCAACCTTCGTACCATCGTTCCCAAGAGTAAGATAAAAATCAAGCCTAGCAACACTGATCACCACTAGAGTGATGACTTTGGTACTACACTTCCTATGAAGAGCTCTTTGCATAGATGTTTTTGTTGGTTGTTTCTTACATTTAACCCCCCTATTTCCTCTATTATTCAATGCCTCCATATATGTAATGAATTTTGTTGTTGTAGTGGTGATTTGTGTTAAGCATTTGAAACTTTTAGCACTAAAACTTTAGTTATTTCTGTAGTTTGTTGAGACATTGTTGTTTATGCTTGGGGGAATTTATTTGTAGTGACAATTAGGAGCCCTAATGGTCGTGGTGATGATGAAGGTCCTTATATTGCTTAAATCAAGAGTTGGACTTGACTTCAAGGTAGGATTATTCCTGAGACTCTTCCATCTGAGCAACCTTGACAGATAGTCATTTTTCTTTGTTTTAATTTTCTTTCCATGATTCTTTTTTTGTGTTAACTTATATTGACCAAATTGATCCAAAATATAGTAAGTGGATGAAAATAGGCACACCAATGAGCTCTCTCAAAAGACCTCTCATATCTTGAGATTGTCAAAAGTTGCTAGAATGAAAATAAGGCACTCCAATGGGCTCTCAAAACATGGAATGATAATTGTGTCAAAAAATAGCATTTTGAATGAAATGACTGGAGCATAATTGCAAAAATGTAGAATTTTGACACTGTAGCACCTCTCAAAATATCGATTTGGCATGGAAATATAGCATTTTACATTGGAGATGCTCTAACTGAAAAACTTGAATGGGCTCAAGAAAAATTGGGAAGAGCAGAGGAGATGAGGAAAGAACTGAGGAAAACAATTTCTGACCTATGCTCCGAGTTAGCCAAGAGCTAGTTGAAGACCTCTCCTACTGTCACAAAAATCTCTTTGCCGAAGCTGAAGCAAAACTGCAGTACACGGTTGACTCACCCTCTATTTATCCCCCATTGATACAAAACCCATGCTTGATGTAGGCGCATCTTCATCTTTTCCGGCCACGGTCGCCGTCCCTGAAGTTTATCCAGCAGCTCAGGTAAACCCAATTTCCAATTCAAATTTTGGTTCTCAGAAAGATACAGGCTGTAAATTGATGAAGTTGAAATTTAGAGGACTTCACAATGAGAGCTTTAAAGAACAGCATAAACCAATACACTAAAATGAAAAACATTGCTACAGGATTCATAATTCTTTACTTTACTTGCTGAAAATTCATAATAAATAATGAGAATGTTCAACGATGAAACACTAAACATTTTTTATACAGACCAGAAGAGAATCAGATTATATTTGACAAATGCTAGAAAGTAAGTTGAGGTTGAAAACTTCTGTCGATACATCGAGACAATCATACAACTGCAACTTTCCTCTAAGCTCTCAGCTGGAAAATACAAAACAAAACAAGCACGATAAACAGTTACCGACGCAAATAACATAGTCAATTAAGTCCAGATTTACTAAAACCATAACTGCAAACAGTTTGGTAACAGCATGTATGTCCGCGTGAGTTATTTTCAGTTTCATTGCAAAAATAAATATGTTTATGAGTGATCTTACACTGTTAGGTTATCTGATATATTTGCTCTGGTAAGAACAATATGAATCATAATCTGTATTGAGACGGTGAGAAGTATAAGACAATCCTAAAATCTGAACATAACGCACCTATAACATAAATGTGAGTACATGATGATGCTTAAGGGAGAGATCCATACTAACAGCACTGTAGATCAAGGATTAAGTTAAAGATGGAAAATTGAGAAAGTGAAATATTTTATAGTTCAACCCAAAAAACAAAAGAACAAATGTCAAAAGCTTGCCCTGATGTTCAAAGTAGTATACCTGGTTTTTTTTGTATATAAAAATAATTATTATAATAATAATTAAATAAATAAAATTATAAAAAATAATTCTAAAAAACTGCCTTGAATACTAAACAATTAAACATATTAAAGAGTACTGTTGAAAATAAGAGATTTAGAAGCTTCTATGCAAACAGACTTGTAAAGATGTTTTAATAGAATCAAATATAAAATTCTTTGCAGATATTCGTATAAGACATCTAAAGCCTCAGTGGGAGTTTAATTCTATGGTTTATCTTCTTTCAACTCCATTTTTGCTGGCCTTAATTCAGAGGGAGACAGAAAACAATTAATATCACATATTTACAGGAAAACAAATCACAAAAAGACGAACAAAGTTTTATTGAAGTGGATAAAATGCATTGATGCAATGGCTTAAATTAATGAACACAGCAGAGAGTTGGTATTTTTCAAAGATTAGGTAGTTTAGTCACTGTCTTGAAAATAAATTTTTATAACTTGGGAAATTGTTAGTCTTTAAATGAGGTTGTTTGGAAATTGTATGCTGATGACTTTTCGACTACTTGTAAGCTCTAAGGCAAAAAATATGATTTAACAATAAGATAAACTAACAAATGTAACATAAATGGATAAAATAACATGAAAAAATTAAGAAAAAGTAATTACATTAAAGCATTAAAAAAAAGAAATATCACCTAAACCAGATGTGTAACCAGATGGAAGATGTTATTTTAGATAGCCCAATTTTATTTAGCTGGTTGTACATTTGCAATAAGATAGTGATGCTTTATCTTAATTTTTAGTTGTCAAATCTTTCTTTAATTACTTTACAGAATTTCTACTCCTATTCCCACTAAATTAAATTTCAAAGAGTTATTGCAAACCAACTGATATAAAAGCACTCAACAAAACAATACTAAAATAAAAGCAAGGGAATTAATTATGGAAAGAAAAAAAAAAAAAAAGGCAAGGGAATGAGGGGAGACGGAATTTGTGCAGCATGCATACAGCATAACAAAATCAAATGAAAAGACATTAATATTTAAATAAAATTCATGTCTTTTCTCTTTTGCCTTATGATAAGAATATGCAATAAAGAAGACAAACTAATAACCAAATAGAAGATCTTTTAGCATTCTTTTGAAATTGGAGACACAAGGTTTTTCGTCTTCTTTAAGCTAATGTACATGCATAGTGAAGTGTTCAACTAGAGACAAGGGGTATTCCACATCTTGTAACGTTGAGGATATTTTTCACATCACACACTATTTACTATGCATGTACTTTCACGCTCTAAAGGATTGCAATTAGAGTACATTAGAATTTTAGGTTTTGGGTTGAAAGAATGGGAAAATAAGCATTGTAGCCAATCAAGCATAAAAATTCTCATTATATTCTATCCTTTATAAATGCGAGTTCATTGTCAACAATGTTGACCCTATGTTGAGCATAATCATCCATTAAAGTCAGTCCTAGATTGAGCTTAATCATCCATTTAGAAATATTTCTCCTACCATTTAAGAATTTGGGTCAACTATATGTCGCACAATTTGAATGTAGACATTATTTTCCTCCACCTATCTCTTATTTACAAGATGTGCCATATACAATTTATTAGGTATGATCATCTAAAGGATCAAGTAGAGCAAAAAGGCTAAGGTGTGAAAAAAGGGGAAGGAAGAAGTTGAGAGAAAATGGAAGGCAAGCAAAGCGAGGCAGGCAACAAAAACTAAGAGGGCAACAATGTAAAACCAAGCAGCAGAAACTATGATTGCAACTGGGCTATTTAAAGGACAAAGACAAACTGGGCTATAGAAAATAACAACCAGCAGGAAACACTATTCCAACAGAAACAAAAATGCAAGACAACACTATTCTTCCACCAGCAGGCATATTTTCTAAATGCAAACAAACATAAAGCATCAATTTCAAAACATCAGAATTTCAGCCAAGATCATAATCATGGATATTCCATACAACCTTGAGCCAAATATTAGAAGGGGCAAGTTTAAACTCTATCCAGCCTAAGTAGTCTAAATCTAACAGCATTGAAAATTGCAGCTTCCAAATAAGACATGCATAAACACGTAAAAATTATATTTATATCATTCATACACATATAAATTCACATATATAATATTAAACAATTACCTCTGAAAACAAGTACGACTAAGTTCTTCTAACAAACTTGGCAGGCCATGCAACTATTCCTCCCTTAGCGTCTTAAAGCTAAATGTAGTGTATAACATACTTGCGGTCTTGCCAAAGCTAGCCAAAAAAAAATGAACATATTCGAAGTATAGTTAGTCCACAAAAAGAGAGGAAAACATGCTTGTAATTCTGTTTTTTGTTATAGTCCTATATTTTCACTTCCATAATTATACCATATGTGTTTTGCTAAAATAAAAATAAATAAAAAAATAAAATAAAACATGAAAAACAAAAAGGCAAAAAAAGAATAAGAGATGTATATGAACAAACAAGCAAAAAAAAAAAAAAAAAAAGAAAAAAAGAAAAAAAAAGAACTAATAGAAGAACTTAATTCAAAAACGTGAGGAACAAAAACCAAAAGCAAATTTGGAACCCATTTTCATCCAATACTCAGAGAATCTGTTCACCTTTAAAATTTGCCAAAAAAATTTAGTGCTGCAAAAGGGTATAAGGACTCCATTCAAACAAACAATGGCCCATTAACTAAGGAATACCACTATATAGCAATGCTTTATATTATACCAGCAGTGTACGATAATACAGATAAAAAATAATAATAAAAAATAAAATAAAATAAAAAATTGTCTCCAGCAATTTACCACAAGCATGTCCTAAAATCTGCACTCAGAATTCAACTAGAGCTAAACTATATAGAGTATTTATGCAGTCTAAAGTCTATTTGACTATGGCCTTTCCTACAATAGGTAACATAGTTGCAAGTAAAACCTTCTAGTTGTGATATTTTGAGTGATGTTATATATTAAAGTCTGAAAGAGGAAAAATAAAATAAAAAGGGATAGAAGAATTTTATTACTAGGTCAAGCCCAAAAAGGGAGACAACCTAAACTTCCACTCTATATCAAAAATAGGACCTAAATCATGCTTTCAGGGGTTTGCTAATATGCTTTGTGCTAGTTTATGTCACAGTAAAAAAATTTCAAAGATTAGGTTAATGATTGCAATTTTGAATTTCTGTGAACTGTAATACTGCCTTGTCCGTGAGAAAGAGCGAAAACCATGAGAAATAGAAAAGATGAGGCTCTCACCGGTGGTGACGACGATCGTAGGTCGGCGGGGTGAGAGAAATGACCGTGAATTGCAGACATAGTAGACGTTTGGCTGGAATTAGGGCTAGAGTGTTCTCTGTTTTTGTTTTTTTCTTTTTGGGTTCTGGTGCGAAATTTTAAAGGGCAAACTGCAATGACTTTCCCGAAATTTAAACTAATTGTAACTAAATTTGAAATTTGTCATTTTATTATAGTGCAACCCCTGAGATTTTCTTCATTTTGCAATGGCCTCCCATCCATACAAAAAATAATATTTTTTATTAAAAAATTTGTTTAAAGTGACTAAAATGTCCATTATTAACAATGTAAAAGACGTTGTTACTCTTATAAGGTAAACAATTGACCATAAAATTCATGTTGAGTGGACCAAACTACCTTTAAACCATAGACCATTATCTCTCTCTCTAGTGCACCTTCACCACTTCACTGCCACCGTCACTTCTCTGCTAAATCGATACGTAACATCCAAATCAAATAATGAATTTTGCACACTTTTAATAACTGAACGACAATATGAACCACACAATGACGAGAGAATCCAAGCTCTCTAAAACCCTAAAATATGGATACTCAACCAACTGATCTCAATGACTATTCACCTTCATCGACCATCGTTAACTTCGACTCTCCAGTCCTTCTTCTCTGAGGACCTCTCGCCGCCGGTTTACCGAACGACCTATCTACCGGAACTTTCGTCCTGGCATTCAAGAACGCCCAATCTTGGTTCTCCGCATACAAAGCTTGCGAATCCCATATCACCACACAATGCGAGGTCGGTGTCGGAATCGGCTGCACCATTAGCACATCGAGCAAGTGTAAGCCCGTGGTGGAAAACTGTATTGGGTAGATCGAAAATGGACTTTACGGATAGAGCAAAATGCGAAGAGCGTTTTTACCTAAAAAAAATATGCGAAGAGCGTGAAATGGCGATCTGTGTCCAGGCTTCGAAAGAGAAATTTCGTGAATTTGCGAAGGATAAGTTTTTGCCGGCATTTAGAGATGCTCGAATTGTGTTTAGTGATAGGAAGTGTTAGGAAACGTGCAATATTTAAAAACTTTTCGAGGGATTTAAATTCATAGATCTTGATTCATCACATAGAGACAAGTTTTATGCAAAAAATAAAAATAAAACATGATGTATCATTCAATTAAAAGATTGAATACTTAAATCAAGGTTTGAGTAAACATTAGATCACTCCTCTAAAGTGAATGTTCTCATTTATTGTAGATCCCTTTTGCTAGACACCTTTTCCATGGATCTCCATCTTCTTGGTAATGGTCTTGCCTTTAGGAATCACTCATAAGCCTCCATGATTGACCTTGGAAAATTAAGCTTGTGGGAGCCTCCATTAGATGAGAATACCAACCCTAATGTTCTAGAGAGAGAAAATATATTCCTTTTTCCTTCTCATCAAAAATCACCCCAAAAATATACATAGACCATGTATATATATAGGCAACATAAAGATAAGGAAAAGGAAACTATAAATCCTTCTTAATCTCTACTTTACATATCTCAAATCTAATATGATTCCAATATCAAATTGGGCTATGAGTGAGAATCCTTTGAGCTTATTATTTTTATTGGCTACAATGAATTAATAATTGGCCCGGTCCATGGACCCAATTAAATTAATTCATTAATTAATTTCTACTCCACTAAAAGAAATTAATTGAACTCCAATTAAATAATAAATAACCTCTAAGTCAATGTTGTACTTTGACCCCTCTATGCATAATTAGTTATCGGATAAATAATGCCATCAATCCGACTACTTAATTAATATATTTATTTTGGTACCTTTGATTATTTCTGACTCGATCACAATAAAACATTTGTTTGACAAAAATAATAATTTAAATAAATAAATATATAATAAATCATTTTGTCTAAAAACATACGAAGGCCTTCGAATTTACTTTGTGATCAACCATAATCAATACAAAATAAATACAAGTAGCAATGATGCAAATATTGAAAATATAACCCTCTAACTATTAATTACATAACTACCAAAGTGTCGGTCTAAGGATCCCGAAGAATCCGCCGAACAAATCAAAGTCATTATTAATTAATAAAAGAGTTAAATGCCATGACGGTGATAGGGAGTAATTGCATACGACGACTCTTGCAATATATCTCAATCTAACGCGGATTCAGTTCAAGTCTTAATTAATTATGATTCCATCCATAATTACCGACTATGAACAATTTATGATTACTATTTATATTAATGTATTGATCGCCATCACATACATATATAAATATTTCTTGTAATCAAGAGGACACTATCAATTCTATAATGAATCGAAACATAATACATTGAATTCACCAATTGTACAAAACATAAATATTTCAGAAACGTTAGGAACATATGTCACTTTAATCCAAACAGGAATTTGCTATGCCAGGGCATATAAATCCCAACAGGAAGGTGGATTGGAAGGAGACTTCAAAGTTGATTTATTCAGCATCGTTGTCGTCGTCTATGTTGCATACAAGTTTAGGGTTTGATTCGATTGGGTTGGACCAATTAGGGTCTTGGATTGAATCCAAGTGTGTTTGAAGTGACAAATTGCAGAGGGAGTGACTTGTTAGGCACCAATTATAGAAAATCACAAGCTGGTTTTGCGTCTCAAAATTTGGTGAATTCGAATTTCCAATCACTGCTATTTTTTGGCGATGGAATCGAGTATGAGAACAACATCGTCCAGTGAATTTCAGGAGAGCGTTTATGAGTCAAGTTCCATTTCCTTGAGCGTCATGGATAATGGATCGATGATGGTGGTGGTGTTGGGTTAAGACGGATCGGTGATGGTGGTATTAGTTCAGAATTGATCAACGATGGTGGTGTTCTTGGTTGGTGGTGAGAGGTGGAGGTGTGGTCGGAGGATGGTGATTGTCTCCCATGTGAACTCGCGATGCTCCATCTGCTTCGATGGTTGTGCTTGGTGGCGCTTGGTGTCAACCGTGATAGTGTAGAGTAACAGAGAAGATTAAGGGAATATTGAAAAAAAAAAAAAAAAAAAAAAAAGAAAAAGAAAAGAAAGAAGAATATTCTTTTGGGTAAAAGGGTCATTTGTTATTTTTAAGATAAAAATCATTTCAAGTATATAATAGGAAGCTAGGGTAAATAAGTAAATTTTACATAAAATCTGACAGAGGGATGTCTTTGCAAAAAAATAACAAACCTCAAATTTAGTTGCAATTAAATCAAATCTCAAAGGAGGTCATTGTAGTTTGCCCAATTTTAAGATAGCCTCAAAAATTTAGCCGTAAAATTTGTCATGACAAATGTTCCTAGTTTTGAAAAAAAAAAAAAAAATTCTTCATTTAATTTTGGAGAGAGTTTATTAAACTTGTAAAACCTCGAATCCATTTTGATTAGTAATTAAAATATAAATAATATTCTTTAATTAGCTATTAAATTGGTTTTCTTCAAAAGTAACGGGACAACTCAAAAATCAATTTTATTTTTTATTTTTTATAATTACCTTTATTTTTACCTTCGCAACAATATAGCTATTTTGACACTTGAGAAGAGAGATACAACTAGATTACGAATACGGATTCAAGTTACCAACTTTGGCGAAAGTTTCCTTTTGGAGAAGGAATTTTCCTTTTCTTCTTCTTTCCATTCTCATCAACTTATGACTTCTTTTGGACAATTTTCTAAGTATAATTAGACTTGGATCTTCAACATTGCTCGGTCCCACGGAATGTCATCTTTTAAAGCTCGGAATCACTGGTCTTGACTGATTTTACAATTAAAGCCATGAAATAAATAAAAATAATAAAACAATGTAAAATCATAAATAAACTACTATTAAGAGAATAAAACATGCAAGTAAAGGGGTTTAAATGTATAACATTCAGCGCCTAACAGAATTCTACCTAACTGATTGGCCTTAAAATTATTTTTCGCTGTGAAAGAGTAGTAATATTTGGGCCAAAGCGTTAGGTAAAATTTTTTGACCGAATACACTTGATTGGTTAATAGTGCTAGAGATAAAGAAGTGGAGGGCACTTTTATTTATTTATTTATTTTTACATTTTGGCATGCATTCACCAATTAAAACTATTTTGTTAAAAAATTCTGCCTAACTCATCAGCCTTAAAATCATTTTTCTTATGAAAGAGTTGTGGTATTTGGTTCGAAGAGTTACACATAATTTTTGGACCGAATATACTCGATTGGTCATTAGTGCAAGAGATAAAGAAGTGGTGGCTCTCACTTTTTTATATTTGGCATACATTGATTAAAACTATTGGTTAAGGAATTCTGCCTAATTCATCGGCCTTAAAAAGTGAATGAGTAGTGATATTGGGCCCAAGAGTGAGGTAGAATTTTTTGGACGGAATAAATATAAACTCAATACACGAGATAGTTCAGAAGTTTCATACATGCATTCTGTAATGTCTGTGTCAATATATATATATATATGTACATATGTGTATATATTTGTGTGTGTGGTGTGATTTAAAACAAAAAGAAAAAGGGAAAAGAAAAAGGAAAATGGGTGGAACCCACATGTACTTAAAATGGTCATGAGACCATTTTTTGTTCTAATTTTTTTCATTTTTCCCGTAAGCTTCTATCTCATTCCAGAAGCTCTCTGTTTTTTTTTTTTTTTTTTTTTTTTTTTTTTTTTTTCTTTTTTCTTTTTATGGTTTCAATCTTCAAGGCTTGATTGTTCCCTCATCTCTTAGTATTTTTAAGTGCCGTTTGAGGCAAAACTAAGCCCACGACGAGCTCTACGCATCCATACCATCAATTTCAGTTTTTGTACACCCTTTGGATTTCGAAATTCAAGACCTACTTTTAAGGATTTTGTGCAAATTTGAGGTAGGGGCTCTTAATCCACAAGTTTCTTGCTCCTATGTGAATTACATCTTCTAATTTGATGCTAGACATGTTTACTTATGCTAGTTGTAGTTTAAAGAAATTATAGCATGTGTATGTGGTTATGTGAGAACTTGTTTTAAATGTTTTATGTGAAAATTCTTACTTATGTGATGATTTATATATGTTCGTTGTGCTAGATGCATTGTTGTACAAGAACATGTTATAATCCCTTGAGAAATTCTTGCGAAATTATGTCTTGCTTACTTAAATAGAGTGAATGTGAAATGATG